CCGAACGCAACTTCGTTAGTTGATTCATTTCTGCTCAACTTTAAGTTTAATAAAAATAATATTTTGAAACCTACTTAGAAGTTTAAAATTAGAATTAGAAAAACGAATAAATATTATATCTGGCTTAACATTTTTGTTAAAGAAAGAGGAGGAAAGTCAAGTTCAAATTTTTTGTGACGCAATTCAAACCGTAAAATATTTTTAATCGATTTGAAAAAGTGACAAACAATATTTTATAAAATTTTACTATAAATTTTTTTTCAGATGTTTTTATCTCTCTGTTATAAAGTTAGCGCAGAAGTGTCTCGCTAAAAATTTAGCCTTATATCAAGAATGTCATGGTCATTAAAAGCATGCAAATTTTATCTTATAAATATAAATCTAGTAATTTAAGAAATGACAGACAAATTTGTTAAGTGTAAATACTTTAACAAAAATATAGGACATCGCTTCGATAAAATATTATTCTACTCTACGCATGCCTGTAAATATTGACGAAAAAATAGATTTCACAGTATCTAAATCACACATATGTAACATTACTGAGTAGAAATTACTGATAAATCGGAGATTGCAATTATCAACTATATGTTCCTCTTCTCTGAATATAAATCTATTCTCAATTATTCCATAATTAATTTCCGAACATATGTATATGTAATATTATTAAAAAATCAAGATATAAGAAATATACAGAAAGAGAGAGAGAGAGAGAGAAAGAGAAAGAGAATTATTATTTTTTAAATATTAATGCTATTAAATAAAAAAGTTTTTCTGATAGCAATAATCATGCCCATTTTTCAAAATGTATAATCAATAAGCTTATACCATTTAAAATATATGTTTATTAAGCCCAAAATTATTTTCGAATCTATTTTGGGCTCTTTCGTAATCGTTATTTCGAACGCGTGTTCTTGTCATGTATCATAAGTCAAGGTCAGTTTTCTGATCTTCGAAATGAAAGAACTGTCGATCGTGTCATTTACGCAAGAATTGTCTACGTAGTTCTTTAATCATTTAAAAACAGATTTCTACCGAGATAAAAAAAAAGTACGTCATACAATTTGGCAAATCAATACAACAGTCGCAAAAAATATGTATGCAACCGTTAAGAATGATATAGATTTTTAAAATATATTTTTATGTATAAGCAAAAGAATTTTTTTTTAATATTAGAATTTAATTATAGCCCGCATTATTTCGCGTATAGTTAAGACTTACCATTGTTTTTATTTGAATATTTGTTACTTTTTTTAACGTTTTAACTAGAAATTAGAATACGAAAACATTTAAATAAACCTATGGAAAAAATATAAAAGACGTTTAAATTTTCGTTAAGAAAAAGTGGTCTCCACATCAATTGAGAAAATCATATGCATAAAAACGTAGAAAATTCAAAGTAATCTCCAAATCCAAATAAAAAAAGATATATATATATATATATATGTGTCACATTCGATAGTTTTTTTTTGTTAAAGATTTTTCTTAAAATTCTACCGAGTTTTTTTGAAGTTGAAAAAATTTAAAAGCATTCGCTAATGTATGCTAATGTATGCTTTATTATGAAAAACGTCGCTTCTGACAATAGTTGCTTCCGAACTTGCTCTAATATCATTCTACCTTATTACATGTTCCATAAAAAATGCAATATTCATATAGCGCAGAAAAGTGTCATAAACGTATTCTCTCAGTGCATATGTGTCGTCACGACACGTGCATTAACACAGCATACGCAAATGGGCACTTATATTCAATGCATTTTATGCATAATGTATTGACAACATTCACAAATTTCTCTCTGCTCTGCTTCTGAAAATGACATGTGACACATCCGTAAAATTCTTCAATTTTCAAGCGTCTACACTGTTGTCTCTTGCACAACTTTTCTCGCGATTCAATATAGCGTAAAATTATGGATTACAAAATTACGTTGTGATTTGCTCAACTACGCTTTTTGCGTAACAATAACAGAGAGAATAGAAATTATTTTCTTTTATAAAAAGATTGCAAAAATAGCTTTAGATTTAAAAGATATAAATATACACCGTAATTGCGTGACATGCACTAGTATTTCATGATTACATATTATTTGATACGCAGAAAGTTTTACTTTTTGTCTTGCAAAGTCACATAGAATTATTGCCAACAATTTTTACCGACATATCGTTCTCATGAATCGAATACTGCGGTGAGAGATACTTTCGACAGTAGATAAAATGCTTTGGTACTCGAAATAGTTCGATTAATATTCATCAATGTGCTGCTATATAACTTTATTGTTTTTTTTTCTCGACATTCTATAAAATATATCTTAATAAAACATATTTTATCCAAGCAACGTGTATAAAATACTATTAATTGCCAGTTATTTTCATATTATTTTTTATTAATTTATTTTATTACGCAATGATGTTACGTATATATATATATATTAAATGCACGATAGATATTTATTTTTGAATGACTATATAAAGAGATAATCCTGGGGGAAAGAAAATCCTTGTAATACTTTAAATAGATATATAATCTTATAAGTTCATTAAAGAAATGTTTAAATATAGACGTAGTGACGTGTAAAGCCGTGTGAGAAGATATCAATAATAGAAATGTTCGACCGCGCGATAAGTGCGATAACGTATAAAATAAGATATGATAAGGCATGATTCGCCTAATGATTAAAAAGAGTTAAAGAAAAAATTACGCAAATAACTTTCTTATCCGTTGAAGATATTATAAACGAGCAATATTTTAACTGAAGTCCCCACTTATTAATAGATTACATTTTCCGCATCTGATAATTGGATCTTCTACCAGCTTTCATATTGAATTTTTAGCATTGATAAAATCTTTGCAATATGATAACGTTGTTCAACAGCAATATATTGTAGTTTGTAAAAAACAATTTTATATTTATTATATATATTATATACTATAGCATATATAAAACACATGTGTATAATTATTATTATATTTTAACTTATTATAATTAGTTACTTTATAAATAAAATTAATTATTTTTTTACTCTCTAAATTTCTTTGAGTGAAATCTCACTTCAAAAAAGTGAAAATACGACAATTTTTGGAGAAAAATGAAAATATTTCACTTCTTGAAAAAGAGTGATAATTGTCACTTTTTGAATAAAATTTCACCTTAAAGTAGTGAAATCTTACTCCAAAAAAGAAGTGAAATTAAATCTCACTTCTTTTGCTCCTCATATGATGTTTCTCATGTACGACTGTATGCACTTTCTTCCTCTTATAAAATCTTTTTATATCATAATATTTATATTTTATATAAACTTATGATATGTTTTTATATCATTACATTAAGCATTAAGAGAAAAAAACGTTCTCAAAACGAGAAATTTATAACTGTGGCAAAACCTCTTGAAATGATTAATGTGCGGGAAGTATCATGTTTCTCTTCATTTCTCGTAATTTGAAATATATTGATTGTTGTCAAATTTATAGCAACGCGTAAAGTAAAATCTTATTTTAATATGAAATAATTCAAAACTACACGAAGGCAATTTTTATCAAATTATTTAATTGCCACATAACATAAAAAATACAATAAAAGTTTGTTACATAATATAGTATATGTATATTTAGAAAGTCTCGGTTACAAGCAATTTTTTTCTATTGTCAATATAAAATTCCGATAAGATTCACATATCTATTAATTTCAGATATATCTGATCAAAATACGTTTGAAGTAAATTGAGTTTTAGTTATTAATTTTTTACTTATTGAGTGATATCTATATATTAAAATTTACAGTTGCGATTGCAACTATGCTTTCTTGAAAAGAATCAAATATTCTTATTACAAATTTGTCATTTTAAGACAACGATGGTTATATTTAAATACTTGTTTACAGCACTGGAATTGTCTACATCTTGATCATTTAAAGCAAAGATATGTGATAAATATGGATAATCAATTCAGATTAAAAAAAAATTAATCATCGAAACAATGATTGACATCTGAATGGGATGATATTTATATGAGGAAAAATAATATGATGGATTAAATAAAACATATATAATTATATCATTGAATGAATATACACTACTCAACAAAATTACCTGTTTCACCCTACAAAAACAGGCAAATTTCAAAAAGTAGAATAATTTCGTAAAAAATCATTGTATTGAGATAAAAGATTATGAGTTTCGCGTGTTCAGATCCATTCTTGGAATGCCAGCGTTTCGTAAACCTTGCAGTCCATTACTAGTGGAAACGCTAGCATTCCAAGAATGGACACGGAGAAAACTGCGAAACGCTGGCATAATCTTTATATAGAAAGCAAAGCTTGGAAGTTTCAAGAATATCATTGTATCGAGATGTTTAAAAATGCATTTTACAATTTGCATTTGCATTTGCAAAAATGCATTTTACATTTTGCAATTTGCTTTTTTATAGTTTTGTACGATTTTTTTCTTCGAGTTATTCAATGTTGAAGCAAAAATGATCCTTTTTGCAGTATATATATATATATATATATATTAGGCAATAATTAACCTTTTCGATTTTTATATACATCAATATAATTAATCTTTAATATCTTAACAAAGTTATTTCTCGAAAATTCTCATACTTTTTAATAATCATTTCTTTTTGTAAATGCTATTAATAATAAATCCACCTCTTAATATTTATTATCATATAACGTCAAGTTTTGTAGAAGCAACAAACAATTTTTTCATTTTTTACTTCTACGTGATCAGTGCTCATAAAATCAGTGCTTATAAAATTTGACTTTTTATTTATGACTGTTTTATAGATTTTCTTTGCTTACTATATTAGATGGGATTTTATATAGAATTTATTTTCCATTATGCATCTTAAAGTATTTGTGAAGCAGATGTGACTTAATTGAATAAGTCTGGAATTTATTTTGAATTTAATTCGACGTCTTAACATAAATCATCTTTCTGATATAAAAAGTTATCCTTTAAAGGACAAGACTTAAATGTTACATTAATTAATTTTAAAGGTCACTCACCGCCGTAAGAATGGCTAACGTGATCTTTCAAGGCCTCTGGATAATCACTGGGGGTTGTAGCTTCGACGTCAAAAGTGCCATAAGTAATATTATGCTCTTTCTTGATGAACTCAACCATTGACTTCATCATAAGCTGACACGTATGTCTACCAGCGACTTGATTTTGCCCATTCGTTGCATAAATAAGATGTACTTTATGCCACTCGTAGCTAATTCATAGAAAAGAAAAGTAAACGAAAAATTTCACATTACTTCATCATATTCTTTAGTTTTTTTATCCGCGTTTTATCAAATATTCATATTCATCACATAATTGTCAACAATCTCTCAATGAAGAATTAAGAAACACGCAAAGAATAAATTTTTATTGTATCAATTTAATCGATAAATTATTATATAAACTTTGAACTGTACGTACTGTTCCATTATGGCCACAAAAAATTTAGCGATATCCCTGAAAGCCAAACTTCCGATTCTTGTGGTCATGAAATATTCGTCTTTACAGTCAACTTTTTTTTCCGTAAAGTCAAAAGTAAAGCCTCCTGTGGTGATTAATGGCGCTCCAAGAAATTTCACCACTCTGCCGACGACCGCTGAAAGAAAACTCTTAACTCTAATGTCACATTAAAATAGCGTATAATATAAAAGACTAACTTGAAAGAAATATGCTCATATATTCATATTTTAAATATAAAAAAGAAATAGTAAAGAGAGAATACATAACATAAAACATAAAAATGAATAATTTGTTTCAATTTTCCTTTTTGTTCAAATTTTTCTTTTCGCTCTTGTAATGCATGCGATTGCAATTATAAATCATTTTAAAATATACATCTTTATGCAAAAGATTATGGAAATTTTAATATAACATATTAGAATAAATCTTATATAATGGAACAGTTTTCTCAGACGGATGTAATTTATATGTAGATTAAAACATGAGCAACATCAAAATGGGTTTTAGAATCATTTTTAGATTGTAGCAAATATAATTTTAAAGAATATACAATAAAATTCAAAATAAAAGGATTTAAGATTACGTACCGACGCAGTAATCGCATGCTGGTCCGAGAAATAAGTGCACACAATGCGAGTAGCTGTCGATCGCGCCGATTTGCGCGTACATTGCGTCGCAATGATCATCTTGTGGCAAGAATTTCAGATCAAGCCAGTGCGGTAACAGATTTCGCGATCTCGCTTCGTATACCGCTAAATCTGCAAAAGAAAAAGATAATACGCTCTCAATGTTCAGGTTAACACAAGCTAAACTTTCATAAAATTGAACGTGCGCGTATAAAACTTGATTTCATTCAGCTTTACATTTGCTGATCCCAGCTTATTTGAAATGCCAAGAGTGTAGACTGTGACATTAATAAGACGTTATTAAAAAATAAAACGTCACCTTGCTACTTGAGTGGTGAATTTGCTCACTTTTTTATTCCGTTTCAAGAAAATACTGAAAAAAATATACTAAAATTTGCAGTGCCAATAAAGTGGACCGCATCCTTAGTATATTTTTTCAGTGTACACAATTGATTCCCAGAGTAGCTCTTACCAAGGACGGGGAGAACCTTAGGCAGAGAAATATCGTATCTCGGATCCTCCGGCAGAAGAACAGCGACCCTCAGTTCGCAAGAAACAGCATCATCGCGACTCGCGCTGCACAGTGTGTCGCATTCTGCACAGTGCTCGCAATCGCGACGCAATTGTATCTCGCCGCGACACGTAACTTTGCCTTCTGCCCGATATATCAGCCATAAGATCATTAGCACGACGATCCTCATGCGGGAACCCATGTGTACGAATCGGAAGGCGATCTCGGATCAGATCGAGCTCTTCGTCACGCTGAATCGAAAGTCGCGAAACATCCTGACATCACCGACAATCACAATCACCCGATAAATATCTTTATCATCGCGAAAAACTCTCCACCGTGTACAGAATTTCGATTCATATGATCACTATTTCGTCTTAAAATCGCGCTGCGATCTTTGCAATTCATTCAAACGCGATACGTTGTACTCTCGAGTTTCTACCGATTTGTCTGACCGTATCGAACAGTTGTTTCACTTGTCGCTTCCTTCTGATTTAATAGCGAATATTGATTCATTAAGCGAATTATTCTCTAATGAATTAGTGTAACTGCATTATCCCGTTATGATGTCTCGTACGATCGGCTTTATTACAATAAAACTATAAACAATGTTGAGTGGAGCTTTAATGAGATTAATAAGAATTTAATTTGTAAAATGATCACTTTTCTCTTCTTTGAAATCAGAATAAAATTCGAAATCAGAATAAAGACTTTAGATTAAATTGTAATAAAATAAAAGAAACGAAGAAACCTCACGAATTTTTAACTTCAAAAATTAAACTTCATCGGACGAACATCTATTAACTGCTTCTGGTCTGCTTACTTTTCGAAACTTGCTTACTTCGAAAGATTTTGTAAACAGCGTATTTATGTAACGTCAACTGTAATTTATCAATTATTACCACTCAATATTGCGTTATCTGTTATTTTAAGAAGCACAAGATCATTGAAGATTACAGTAATTATAATCGAGTCCTAGTGCTTATCGGAGATGTAACGTATTAGTTTAAAAACTATTTAGATTTCATATCGCGGATATTTTTAAAGCGGATATCGTACGCGACCATCGACTATTTCAAGAATTCTATCAACGAAATTATGTGCAATCGCCGAAGAAAATATTTACGTGTGAGAGTTTGCACGGAACACTAAGTACCGAATCTATTAGATTTGACGAAAATCCTTAGTGTATTCGCGCATCTTTCCGTATTTCTTTGTCTTTTCTCAAACTCCGTCGAGCACAAATAGAACGCGAATGCTCGATTAATATCGAGAGAACGCAAGAGTATTAATAAAAAAGAAAAGCATCACGTGAAAGAGTAGTCAATTCAGATTTTGGAGGTATCCGAACACGCGAGAAAAAGAAAAGAGCAGGAGAGAGAGAGACAGACATCGCGATTCACATCAGGATCGCCGGAAATACACTGACACCTCACGATCACGCGACCGCCTTGTTCCAGTGACAAACGAGCACTTACATACACACGCGGCTTTATCACGGATATCTCGCGTCGATTGATAATAGTTATCGAAAACTCCGATATGCACACTCACATGGCTATCCCCTCCCAAGTCCTTCAAGAGGGTTGCCGCTTCCATTTCATCTCGAGAGATCGAATTTCTGCGAGGGTCTTCTCCCTACCACATCAAGCGCACCCTCGTTTAGAGGATTATCTCCGATGGTTAGTTTCTGTATTGTCCTCTGCCATTTTTCCATTCGCTTCTTCTTCGAACATTTCTGCATTTTTTTCATTTGCCTATCCAAATTGAATTATCGTTTTTAAGTTTATAGCGCTGTTTTCCGTATTAAGCTGTGTTCTGTATTAAGTTTGAAATTTATGAAAACAATTAGTGAAATTGTGTAAACTCTAAAGAAATGAATAAAAATGAATAAAAAGCGTCTAACAAGGAGAAGATACGATGGGATAATAATCGATTGTGACGGAACTCGTTGTAGCGATAGGTCTGCATATCAAGTGGTACTGGATAAAAGGATATAATGCGCTTCTCAAGCGTTTGTGAGAAAATTGATTAAAAATTACTAAAAATCGTTGAATAAATCGTTGGTTTTCAATGATTTTTTATTCAAATACTATCAACTTTACAGAAAAACAGCGAAAGACGAAAATTGTTTGTACTTTCTTCTCATAAAATTCTGAGAATTTTTTTAGAATTTTTAAAAAATTTTTTAATACGTATTTTCATACGACAAAAAAAAGTTGATATAAAAAATTCTAAAAAAATTCTTAAAGTTTTTATGAGAAGAAAATAAATGATTTTTGTCTCTTGCAGTTTTTCTGTAAAGTTTTTCTGTTGATAGTATTTAGAATAAAAAATGATTAAAATATTCGGCAAATTTTTTAATCGATTTTCTCACAACGCCTGAGAAGCATTATATCCCTTTATCTAGAATCACTTGACATGCAGACCTATCGCTACAACGAATTTCGTCGTAATCAATTATTATCACGTCCTCTCCTTGTAAGAGCTGGTGCAAGATATTGTTGCGAATTATAATTAGTTTATATAATTAGTTTATATAATTAGTTTATATAATATTACATACTATAGATAAGAGTTTCTATAGATAGGATCCTCTTCAGTATGTAAAATTAAAATCATAAAGTGAACTTTGAAATTTGTGATTACGGACGGATATTTAAAATTTAAGAATATCTGTCTGCATTTTGATCGTTTAATATAATTTTACATGAAACATGTTTTTTTAAAGCGTGTACAGTAAAAAGTAAAATATCCTTTCGCTGCGTCTCTTTACAGTTATTACTATAAAGAGAAAGAGAGAGAGGGAAAGAAATTAGTTTATAGTCATTTTTAGCATAAATAAAATGCGCTTATTATACAAAGGGGATGAAATAAAAAACATTTATTCACTTTTGAAGTTTGCGCAATTATTATTATATTTCTTTCTAGTATTTTAATATTTTTTACATATTTAGCAAATAAATATCGTATAAAAGATTGTTTAGAAAAATGTTCATAAATTTCCATTTGACGATGCAAAAACGACACATTCTTTTATTTGAATTTGGATTTTATTTTAATTTAAACATCATTTAATTTAAACAAAGCGTTAATGTCCAAACATTTGAACGTGTTGTTATTGCATGTTGATCGAGAAATAGTTTAAAACTAGATAATTTTCATTGTTTAATTTTAATGCTACTTGATCAACTATGTTCTTATCAATTAATTTATAATACTGCTTTTATATATATATTGGGTCATCTAAAAAGTATCCGCGGTTTTTATACTATATACGAAAAAAATTAGATGCAGATTTGAATCGCCACACTATCCGCATATGGCAATTGCATGTTCGTTTACAGCACTCTTTATAGTGGAGTATCGTTTTCTGGAACTAATCGAGCTATATTATATATTCGACTTCTCCATCTCAATGTAATGCAAACATAGTTTGTAGGTAATGCAACACCGATGTTTTTAGGAACATATTGTTAAGTTTGTTAATGGTGTAAATAATTGGTGAAATACGCACGTGCGTTGAGAAAACATCTTGAATAAAATGAAAATTAAAAGAATCAGAAAGCTAAAGCGTAAGAAGAAGTACAATCAGAATGTGAATCGAAAGAGGCTGCGAAATAAATTAAGGAAACAGCCGAATATTCCATGGTACACTTTCTAACCTAACTCACATACATTTATTACATCGTAAAAGTAGAGTTGTTCGATATATTTAAGATTTCGTTTACACAGAATATTTATATATTATTTACGTTAAATTTTGAATCTTTAGTAAATATACAATATAATGCCTCCGATTTTCCTGTAATTTCATAAATATATTTTGTATTTCCACGTGTAGAATATATTCTGAGAAAGAAAATCGGCGCTTTAAAAAGTTCATTTTTTTATAAATTAATTTTCGAAGTTTTTTAATTATTAGGAAAATGATAATTTATATACATACACATTTATAGTATATATATTTTAAAGAAATGTTAACTCACATAAAAAGAGTTAAAAAAGTAAATTTTTAATTACAAACTATTCTCTGCTACACTTCAAATTATATGAGAAAAACTAATTTTCGTTTTTAATTAATTAAAGCAGAGAATCTTTGTTTTATTTTTAATTTATTGATTTGGAAAATATAATTCACTAAGTATCTTGAAAAATTCTTTAATTCATTCATTAAAATTAAATTTTCTTTAAAAATAAGTTCTGCCAAATAACCAATTAAGTATGCTTCTCTTGTACCATAGAATGATAAATATACAAATGCCTGTTCATTTTAATTAAATTTCTTGCACAGTTCATCTTTTCGATTTTTTTCTTCAAGATGAAGAGAAAGGGAAGAAAGATGAACCATGCAGGAACTTCAGCTAAGAAATACAGATTTAATTTAATTTAACTTAATTTAATTTAGTTTATTGCAAAGCTATAAGAAATTTCAATATAAAACGAAAAACGGGGCTTGAGCGATGATTTTCCTTCTCAAAATATGCTTTATGCGTGGAAATATACAAATTTACAAAATTATAAGAAAGTAGAGAGCGTTATATTACATAATATTTACTGAATATTTTTCATGTAAACAATATAAGTAAAATGTGTAAATTATTATAAACTAGATAATACAATTCAGAAAGAAGTAATTAAGTTTTTTAATTGTTCATCTAATATTTTAATACTGATAAATAAAAATATATAAGTGAGATAGTTTTAATTCAGTATGTTGCAACAACATAGATTTTGATGATCCATACATTGTTTACATTGTATACAGATAAATGTAAATTATTATATTTTATAAACAAACAACTTGCTGCTGGTAAAAGTTTATTACATACTTTTACATTTAGCATACTGTAAATATTATATTATTTATTGATTCTATTACTTTGACTTTTAGTGAGCAAATAAAAAAAGAATGGCAGAACAAGAATTCTATTCGTGACAATTTAAAAGAAATGGGTTTGGCATATGATACAAACGAGGCGGTGCAAATTCCTAATGTAAAACACGAGATGTTGGAGGATGCCAAGAGAAAAGTTAAAGGAAATGAAGATTTGTCAGATCACGAAAACGAAGAAATGAATATGACTGCAGCAAAAAGTTACGTGATGGAGAAGTTGGAAGCTGAAGCAAAAGCTCCTAGAGAACGACTTCTTAAATTGCCAAAAGGACAAGCACAATTTCTCACTTATTTAATAAAGAAATATGATGAAGATTATAAGGTGAGATTTTTTACAAATAAAATTAATGTTATCCCCAAACGTAACTGATTATGTATTTTCAATGCAGGCGATGTCGAAAGACAAGAAGAACCATTATCAATTAACTTGGAAGCAAATACGAGCCAAGATAAAAATGTTTAAGGGAATTCCGGAACAATATAACAAATTTGTTGAGAATAGCAGTACGCAGGAATCCTGACGTGTATAAATGTACATTAGAATTTTATTGAGATTGTATTTTTACATCGAGATTAATGTATACATAAATCAGCGACTTAAATACTATTGTAATTTGTTCTAATTTGATAAAAACAAAAAGAATAGATTACATTAAGCATGTTTCATTTGTAATAAAATATATTAGCAAATAAGAATACGTATAATAGAATACGTTTTTAAATGGATTATATAAAAAAATACATGTTTTGCAGTATTTTAGACTAATGATTTAATGAAGTATACATAAAAAATATTATGACTTGATAAATTGCGATCAAGATAAAAAAGATTCTTTCGTTTAAATAATTCGATGTAAAATTTTTGTTATTAAATTTTTATGTGGGATGGGATAAGATAAAGACATACTAGAAACAATTTTGCTTTAATTATATAAATTTGTAAAATATGTGATAAAAAATTAACGTTGCATTATCGATGTTGTTAGGCGCCCTGTTTCCTTTTTGTGCTCTATTATCGTTACATTGTTTCATTGCGCAAATACATAATAAAAAGCTGTAACAACAATATAACGATAATGACACTCAATAAAAATCTAGCTTTTTAAGAGGGGCGATATTACTTCTGATATGGACATTCGCAATCACACTGAAATTATTGACATTCGTATTTGAATGCGTATTTTTATATACCTATCTGTAGAATCAAATCCTAAACATAGCTCTTAGATTAGTTCAACGACATCGCGAATGTCGATCCCTGAAGGAATATAGGTCCAGTCTTGTAAGGATCACGAAGTTCTGTTAACGCTTTAACCAAAGGTGCTCCGTCTCTTAGATCAGATCACTTTGTTTCTCAGACGTCCCAAACACTCGATCTCAGTTTCAAGTACATCGCCACGCTAAAACACGCAATCGAATACAATTTAGGAATTTACATAAATTGAAAAATGCGCATTAATAAATGTTAATGACGACGTATCATACACATGCTGAGAAGAATATAATTAATTTATTAAACATAGAATTATACCTGCAGATATTCAGGTGGCTTACGTGTGAATCCTACACCGGCCGGGGTGCCGGTAAGGATCACGTCGCCTGGTAACAACGTCACAAATCTGAAATGTTAACATCGTTATTACGCGTATTCTTAATTGCATGATTTTTATCGTCAAGAAAAATACATACTGCGAAAGATAAGCAACTATCTCATGAGGTTTAAAGATGAGTTCGCTGGTATTGCCATCTTGCTTTAGATTGCCATTCACCCATGTCTTCACGGATAGATTGTTGATTTCACTTATCGCTTCCTTGATGATTACCGCCGGACCAAGGGGACAGAATGTGTCCATTCCTTTACCAAGCAGATATTGACCACCATTTCGCTTCTGCCAATCACGTGCCGTTATATCCTGCGCTACTGTGTAACCAAAGATATAATCCTCGACGTCGTCATTACTGAGGCCTTTGCATTTCTTCCCAATCACTATCGCCAGCTCCGCCTCCCAATCGACCTTCTGTAAATCCAAAAATCGATTGCGCTTTAACTTCCTGTCTGCAATCTGAGTCTTTTTTTTTACACACAAGCAAAGTTTTATTCTTAAATTTTCCAAAATAAAGAAGGGTGGAATCCCTTTTTTAAAATTTCTTATATTTGTTTGGCAATAGAGATGTTGAAAAGTAACTGTAAATTTTTCACATCTTTTTGAAAGAGAACATTAAAAAAAACTTGGGCTAGACAAAAAAATTGCAGGTAGCGAAGATTGCAGACAGAGAAAGTAAAAATATAATTGCAAAGGAATTGTATTTGGAGAATTAACCAAGCGTCTTCCGAAACGCTCTGTATAAAACACATAATATTGTTACAGATGTTATATTTTTTTAGAGTGTCAAGGACAAAGTGCATAATGATTAATGATATCCTTTTGAACAATTAGACGCAAACCCGATTGGTATTCAAGCTCCAGTCGCTGCAGACTCCGCGAGAAACTACTCTATTATGACTCTATAAAAAAGAGTCATAATAGAGTATGTTCACAGCTGGGAACGAATAGAATAACAATGAAAGTGGGAGTCATGACGTAATTCTGGACTAAAAATACATAATTCCCAATAGAATTGTCATGATCCTCAAAGAGCAGATCGTGTTTCGATAACACTGTTTAACATTCAAATTCTTTCGTGTCATAGTACATGTTTGTGAGATTTTTTTTATGCTAAACACAATGATCAGAATTTGTAGCACGTCAGGATTTTGAATAAATTGGAGTGAAATTTTAGTCTAAAATCACTTCGATTTACTATTACATCCCAATTTACTAAAAATCCTGATGTGCTACGCAAATTCTAATAGCATTGTGTGCAGCGCAAAAAATCTTTAAGGTATATAACATTTTGAATAAAAAAAAGTGATTTTTTTGCTGAACTGTGTAATACAAAAGTTAAAAATTCGAACCATAACTTAATAAAAATGAGTCAGTATGATTATAAACTAAAATTTTTATTTGAAAGTTTAAATTATACTTTTAGATGCCATAGATTTTATTTAGAAACAAAGTTTTGTTTTTCCAAAAGAATCTTGATGAAAAATACCATTTTTGCTCATTTTGCTTCAATTTATTCAACCATTTTTGCTCATTTTGCCTCAATTTATTCAAACTTCTGAAGTGTTACGTAAATTCTGCCAATAGCGAGTTCAGCGCGAAAAAATCTTCCGGGTATATACTATGGCACTTCGAAGAGGAAAAAAATAATTTTATTGTCGAACAATGTAATCAACTCGGCATTTTTCTCCTCCTCTCTTTCTGTCGACTTACATCCGAGATCTGCGGCAGCAGGATGTTGTCGCGGGGTCCAATGATGTTGCTGGGAAATTTGCTAAAGATTATCGGACTCTCCGGAGTTGGTATACCTTGCTCCTGACAATGTCCGCTGTAGTTGAGACCGATGCAAGCGAGCTTGTCCATGCGCGTGATCGGTGCCAGGAGGTTCACGTCGGCCTCAGGTGTAATGCTCCGTCCCTCGGCGACTATTCTGTAACCAATTGTTCGTAATTCAGCGTTTTAGATGGACTCTGGAATCTCCGATCAAAGTTAATCAACTTGCACGCGAGATGAAACTTGATTAAATTGCTTTTTTTTTATTGTGGCGTCTCTATAGAAGTCTCTATAGAAAATAAGCTGTGCGATGTTAAAAGATAAGGCAAAAGAAAACAAACAGCAGAGAATGGAAAAAGAGAAAGTTTGATTAAATTCGCAAGCAGAAATGCGTCCTGCACTTCCCATTCATGCACAATCTTGTTAATTATGATAATCGATGAGTAATATGTGGTTCTAGATAACAACCGGATTTTCCCGGAAAATCCGACTTACGGTAATGAGAACAACCTCATTAATTACTTCTATGTCTAAATCTCATCAATTATTCGTCCAATATCTCAGCGTTAATTCCATGCAGTTAATCAAGCCGAGCACAATTTACGTCTCTATTGTGTTCACTGTGACATCGTTTCCGATTGTAGCGCAACGTGTTGTGTCCATAATTTTTGCAAATGTTTTCCTCATATCGATTCACGTCTCGTAGAGAGATTACGTAACAGAAGATTGCGTGCAAAATCTCAAGTTCTCTCGTTAAGGCGCCTCCAGACAACATAGACAATATAACGTGTACCAACATTAGCAAATATCATATTGGGTCATCTAAAAAGTATCCGCGGTTTTTTTGTCACTAGATGGTGTTGATGGTCATATATCTAGTGACAAAGTACCGCGGATACTTTTTAGATGACCCAATACATACGTAATTATCCATATTGAATGTAATATTTAACGAATATGTGCAAAGTTGATATATTAGACATATCATCTGGAAGCGCCTTAAAATATAATGTGTAATAAATGATATGATTTAACTTAAATTTTTAAATTAACGTCTTTTGTTATAATTATCTATTTTAAATGTCCAAGACATTTAATTTTGAATAATTAAGTACATGTAATACTCATTTGAACAACGACGATTATTGTGATTTAACATTCTCTCATTCTAATATTATTCTAGCTTTAATGGTATAACTTCTTCTCTATATATATCATTTTCAAAATAATAGCACTCTTTTTTGCAAAAATTATTGAGGGAAGGCTTCATGAATATCTTCAATAGCAGAAGATGAAATAAAATGAATAGTTTACAATTGTATTAGGTGTACAAATAAGTTTCCGCCGTTTTTAATAAAAAATTAAGCATTTATTGTTGTGAAATTGCTTGTTGAGTCGCTCCTAATGTAAGTGCAAGTTCTTTTTGCGTTTGGCACGACTCTTCATTCAATAATGCTTCCAATTCCACGTCTTCGTACACTTTCGGCCTTCCGCTACGTTCTTTGTCTTCGACGTCAAATTCACCATTCTTAAATTTTTGAAACTATTCACGACAACTTCTTTCACTTAAGGCAACCTCACCATATGCTTCTACAAGCAATCGATGAGCCTCAGCTGCAGATTTCTTCAAATTAAAGAAGTAAATCAAAAATTCCCGCAAATGACGCTTTTCGACTCAAAACTCGACATTTTCACACAAAAAAAATATATGATGCTGATACAAAATCGCTAGTATTTCAAGATTATGTTGTTGATAGATATCCAACCTTACGATATAATGTTTTACATCAGACAATTTTAACCATAGCTTGTTAGTGGCGCCGTCTTTTGTCAAACGGCGGAAACTTATTTGTACACCTAATAATTTACTAGTTCTTATGATTATTAGTGATAACATAAATGTCATACAATTTTAAAATGCGGTAACTTTTAACATGACTACATTATTATATTATATTATAACATGAAGAATGTATAGAAAACATTCGACTTTAACAGAAAGAGATTTTATCTCTCTTTTCTAAGTAAAATGAAGTTGTGCGGAGAAACATGCCTGTTTTCTTGAACCATAACAATGAACGAAAGCGATATTGCATAAATGAATGTTCTATTAGAGCGAATCGATTACTATTCTTATCACTTGTCCTAGTTTGATAGCTAAGCATCATCTGACATGATTAATAAATTCAATTTAAAATAAATGGAAATATATTTTGTACGAGCAGATAAATAAACGTTACTCTATTCATTAAAGCGTACTACTTTC